AAATATAATCACATGTATGTATTTAGGTTTATTTTTGTTACTAACAAACTAATTTATTTTTTATATTTTGAGAAACAGTGTAACAGACAAACTCAATGATATGAATGTAATTATTATATATATAATGCAATAAATAACAATCATTATCCAAGAAGGGGATAGAAAGAGGTTGGGATTAAGTAAGGCAAATATTTATTCAAAATCATTATGCAAGTTAGTTATAAATAATTATGAAAATTTATTTAAAATATTACAATTTTGTATGGACACATTTCTTATGAATACAAATGTCATAGAGTATATTCATCAACTAAATTAATATGTTAGGATAACAAAATTTGTGTTAAAACAATATTATATATGTGATCATGACTTTATGATTAAACATTAAATAATTAACTAATTATTCTTGTAAATGTTTATAATAATTTTATAAGATTTTAGTAAAATTAATATTAAATAGTAACTATCTTATATATTTATTATTTCTTATATATAGTAAATATGTCTAAAATCTATATTATACTATAATAATTTATTTTAAATATAATAATTTATTTTAAATATGTAAGTAATGGATATAGTCTAAAACATATTGCTTGTTAAAAAAAACTAAGATACAATAATACTATACTTATCATTGTTATATCTCTAACAATGACGACTTTATCAATAACGGATCTGCAAACCGGTGTGATCGATCATCATTAAAGGTTATTCCTATAATTAGTGGCGGATCTTCTTGGGAGCTGAGGGGGGTCGTGACCCCCTCAAAGTTTTGTAACTCCCATGTAATTTATGATTTTGGTCCCCCAAATATAATGAACATTTAATATATTTACTTGTATATTTACAATTTTATCCTCTCAGCATCTCCTCAGTTTTGTAACTCTCGTATAATTTATGATTTTGTTTCCTTCAAACTTAATGATCATTTAATATATTTAATTATATATTTACAATTTTATCTTTTCACTCTTTCATATTTTTTCTTCTTTTTATATTTATTTATTATTTATTAATAATATATTATTTGGTCCCCCAAGATCAATAATCAAGATCACTGCCTATAACAATTATTCTTGCGAAACAAATCAAGTATGTTTACTATCCTTTCTTAAATAAAATATCAAATGCACTGATAAAATCATACTACACATCATGATACTAATAATTGGTTATTCTTACCAGAACATTTAGTTATAAAAAGTATGTAATATACTAAAATGTCCATACAAACAATGTTTTCTATTCAACATATCAGAGACGGAACTAAGGGGACATGGGCTGGCTATAATTCCCAAAAATTTTGATTTATTTTTAATATATATATTTATAAAAAAATTAAATAAAATTATTTTTTAATATAAAAATGTATTATTATATTTTTATAAATAATAATATATATTATAATTATTTTTATTTTTATTTTTATTTTTTTCATATATATTTTTATTTATATCTTTTTTCTCTTATTTTTTTATTTTAATTTTTCTTCTTCTACTTTTCACATTTTACATTTAATTTCATATTTTTACCTTTATTTTCTCGTCACTTTTTCAATTTCATATTCTTTTTTATTATTATTCTTTCACTTACATTTTCTTTTCACATTTTCATTTTATAATATATAAATTATGAAATTTTTTCTTTAATTTTCACTTTTTTTAAGTAAACAATTTTTTATTATTTTTTTACTATTATAACATATTACATATTATCATATATATTATTTATTATCAATTAATTAATTATTTTAATATTTTATGCCGTTCGATATTAAAATATAAAAAAATAAAGATATCTATAAAATAAATCATATATTATTTAAAAAAAATAAAGAATATATGATAAAATAAATTTCTAACTTATTAAATTTAAATTTAATAAATATTATTAAGAAACTTATAGTAGAAATTATATAATATAAAATATTGTCCAACACATTTAAAATATATTTAATTTTATATATATTTATTTGATGTTATTATACGTGAATAATTTATAATTTATATAAGATATATATATATATATATATCATAAATAATTTTAATATATATTATATGGCGTTCCCTTGAACATATGTCTTATGTTTCAAACATGATTAAATGATGTAACATTCAATTTTTAAGTAAGAGGAAGAGCTAGTTTTCATTTGCACTAACAAAATTTAAACCAAAAATTCTATAATTTGCTAAAATTGGATTTAACATGATATTCAAAATTATCAGAAAAATCAAGGAGAGATTGTGGCTTGGTCAAAATTAACAACAAAAAAAAAAATTATTGTCTTCTGAAACTTTTATATATACTGTTGGAAATACAGACGTTGTATACGAGTCGAAATACAGGCGTTAAGCATCTCCATGTCCACACGTATAATTATATTTTTTAGTATTATTTTAAATTTTATTTTTTTTCTTTTCACTTTTTTAAATATACCTACTTTTTTCTCTCTCATTTTTATACTATCTTTTAAATATATAAATCATAATGATTGTTTTTTCTTTAAACTGTAAAACTTTTATTTTTCTCGACATCAAAACAGTAATTATAAAAGGAATCTCCTCTATATATAATTAGTAGAAACACAACGCTTTAATTTATGTATAATTAATTTCTTTTGAAATATTATTTTAAATTATATCTTATTTTCTCTTCTACTATTATAGAAGGAATCTTCATTATCTAGTTATTACTCGTATAAGAAAAAGCCTGTTTTTCCATATTTTTTTTATAATTAATTTCTTTCAAAATATTATTTTAATTTTAATTTTTTTTCATTTTTTAAATATATCCATTCTTTCATAATTTTAACTATTTTTTAAATATATAAATCATAACGATGACAGTGATTAAAAAAATTCTCTTTATATACAGTCAGGACAGATTGAATGATAACTAATACAGACTACACTTAAAAAAATTCTTTTAAAACTTTATTAAAAAAATATTATTTCTCCTTAAAAATTTATTAATTTAGATTAACTCCTTAAAACTATAGATGTAAAGATATTTTTATACTATTAATTTTTTAAAATATTTTTTAGAATATTTTTTATGTTTTTTAATATACATCACGTCTTTTATCTCTACTTCTATAAATGTTACAATTTTTTTTATTATTCTCATCTTTCTTTTTCTTTCCTCTTTCTGCATAAATAATTTTTTAAAATTATTTTATTGTATTTTTTCTTTCTCCACTACACTATATTATTTATTTATCATATATGACATAAGATATTATATATATATATATATATATATATATAATATAATATAATATAATATAATATAAAGTCGTTAAAAAAACTAAGATAACTAATAATATATATCCAAATAAGATTAAAAAATAGATGATTAAAATTAAAGTACTTAATAATTCAAATTTAAATATCTTCAAATTTTTTAAAATGTATCATTTTAAAAAATATATATTAGAAATCTATATCATAATCATTGTATAATTATTGCCATAAACATCGTCAGTCTAATGTCATTATTAACGTTACAACTATCAGTATATTAATGATAATTAATAAAAGTGATCTTAATAATATTAGCAATAACAAAGAACATGTATTATTATTTTCCCCGAATCATAATTTTTATATGATCATTACTATTACACTGTTGGAGAAAATCATTATCGTAATGATAATGACAATTATTATTAAAAAATTATTTTTTTGTTAAATATGTCTTCCAAATATTTGATTATTACATAATATTTGATTATTTCTTCTCCCCTCTCTTAATATAGGAGAATGTTAATCATTGGTAACAATTTCTGCCCCAATATTCTGATTGCCTTTTTTTTACAATAATATTGCATTTTTGAAACCGAAGAAAGAAGTTAAAGTGTATAACAACCACGTAAAACTTTCACACAAATATTTATTGCCTGAGTAATATTACTTTTTTAAACATAAGAAAAATATATTAATTTTCTAATAATTTCTTAAATGTTCAAAAAACAATTTCTAATATTTCATCTTCATCTTTTATTTCAAACAAATTATTATATATTATTATAAAATATATATTTTAAAAGACCAAATTATCTATTTTACTAAATAATAACTTATCTTAACAATTAAATTGCAAGAAAATATATAATAAAATAAGAAACAAATCTAACTCTTAAAGTAAATCCTCTCTCTTTTTCTATATAAAATATTATGTTATCATAGAAATATATTGTAAACCAAAACACACATTCTGGAAATATAAAATTGTTAAGAAATTATATTATTAACCAAACACTCTTAAAAATATCAATAAATAAATAAAAAGCTCACAACTGTTACCTAAGGATTATTATTTCCTGAAATAAAATCTTTAAAATCATGGTCTCCCTTAAACCTTAAAAGAACTCATTCGTTTTATAAAACATTTTTATTTTTATGTAAAGGACCACTTGGACAAAATCTCCAGAAGTCCGTCTAGAAGAGAAAAAGATTATAACTTCTTTATATAAACTAATTTGTAAGAGATCGTACTTCTTTAATACATAGATAAGCTAATTTTAGCTTATAAATGCTGTTATTCTTTTTTTTTTTCTCACTAAACAGGTCAAAATTAATTTCTCAGTCACATTAATTAAAACATGTCACAATAGGAGGAGCTAACTCCAACTACTTACCAAACTGGCACTAATTCATCCTATCTTAACTACTAACAACGCATCGCCGCTACCAATCATTAGAGTTGAGCCATAAATTAAAAGACCATAACCTTGGCGTAAAATTCTTATTATATTCAATAGTTGAAAGGAGGCAATGCATTTGGTTTTGCAAATACTAGCAAAGATCTAAGCCGGACATATTAACTGCTCAACCCACAGTAGGATAAAATTTCGTATATGACCGATAAGATACGCCAATGGCTACATCATTAAAAACATTACTACTGTAAAAAACTAAACAAACGGCAATAACCCAAATTAAATATCATTCTCAATAATCAATAATGTATGAGATGGGACCAAATGGCTTCACTTATCGAGGAGGTGTTGGAGGAGGCGGTGGCAGGTTTGACTTTGCAAATCCCACCCATGCAACAATGCCAACTGCCAGAATTATCCATCCAAATATGTCATACTTCAGATCACTGCTCTTCTTTTTCTGCGTCTGAAAAACAAACAAACAAAACAGGTGATAAATTCACACAACTCAATACAAAACACAAGACATGCTTTACAGATATCTAATAGAACCACTCGTGCTACTAATGTCTGTGAAAGAAGAACAATAGGCACGATGCACAGGATCATAACTTATAAAGGGAAAATAACTGAGTGCTTTGCGGGAGGATGTGAATAGTAGTAGAAGGGAGGATTTGAGGTGTGAGTGTAATCGAGTATTAAGGGACGGAATAGAAGAGAGAAGGGGGAATTTAGTAAGAATTTGGGACTGGGAGACATTAGGCCTTTCCTGCGTTTCCGTTTTTTTTTTTTTTTAGAATCAGCTATCTAGTTCTGCTTTAATACAGAGCTGATATTTCCATTTTCATACCCTTACAAAACATATTCAGATCATTGTTTCTTGGGTATCTAACAATATCATTGATAACTAACAGTCCAAGAGCCAAGTGCAACCCAAACAACACAAATAGCAGTCGAAACCAGACTAGTTGAAAGATTAATTATGTAATTTCTATTAAAACATAAAATAAATACTTACTCTCCAAAAGAAATGCATATAATATTCTCTACATTTTTATCCAATCCATCTCAAATCATATTTATACAATGGTTAAGTAATTAAGATATACAAAGTCAAATTGGTGCACTAATGGTAAAACTTGAGCCCATGCCCATCGCATAAAATTTGTGTTCCACATGCCTTAGTCACAAAGTTCCTACTTAACTAGAAAAAACAAATTTACCATAGAAAAGTTAACATTTATCACCATTAATTTCCAATGAAATAACACAATACATTCGGGTCAACAAACTCCTTTACCTCACTGCATCAGCACCCCTTAAATGTGTCCTCCATCCGAGAACATTACATGTATGATTTGAAGTTGAATTACTAAATCTCAGAAAAATAAATTCATTTACAATGACTTAGAACATATATTGTATGTTCATAAAAAGACAAGAAAAATAAATTCATTTACAATGACTTAGAACAATATTGTATGCTCATAAAAAGACAAGAATTATACAAAAACACAACCTGATACAAAATAATCAGAAGGTCAGGTCAGGTCAGGCCACAAAGGCAAAAGTATTATTACCTTTGTACCCGTAGAAGATGTAGAAGATCCAGCTGTTGCTGCCTGCTGCTGCTGAACAAATCCATGCTTATGAATTTCTAAATGAAGCTCAGGAGCCTGAAAAAATTGGGATTATTAATTTGATCCAGAAGCCAATCTCAGAACAAACCTTTTTCTATATAAATAAAAAAGAAAACACAAATAGAAAGCAATATTAGAAACACAGATAAGGTACCATCCAGTAAAAAGGTACCATCCAGTAAAAACACAGAATGCGAGCAGTGGATAAGGTACCATCCAGTAAAAAACCAGACAATAGAAAGCAATATTAGAAACAAAACAGATTAGCTTCAAAGAATAGCCTAATTCCATCGTGAAACATGTGCAAATAACCAAATTATAGACAGTAGCAAAGCCACAAACAGAAACCAGCTGGCTTGCTGGGTAAATATGATCATTGTAATCAATCTTCTGTGAAGGGAAACCCTTTTGTAAACACAATCTTTGGAAGAGATATCTTCTTCCTGGTTTCCATTCTTTACATTCAATTCAATAAAAGCTAGCTCTTCTTTCCCATTTATATCTTTTGTTCCAAACAACTCTCCTCACCACTAACCAGTAGATGTCTTCTTCCTCCAATTTATACATCATCTTCCTCTGCATCTTGTTCAACTCCCTTTCCCTCCCTAGAACTAGCAATGACTTTCTCCAATCTTGATTGCTGCCAAAATCATTATTATCAGAAAGTTACACTGGCCAGAACATATCCCAGGAAGAAGTGAAGAACCTTGACCAGAAAATGTTCGCCATGCAGAAGAAAAGAAAGTATGAGGGAGTGGTTGGTCTGAGTTCTTCAAACCCTCTTTGGTGTTATGGGGAGACCAAAACGACCAAAAACCATTGAAAATGAGTGAAGTAAAAAATAAATAGGGGCATTATGGGGCTTCTGAAAAAGATTAAGACAGCGGCTCTCACAACTGTGAAATGGCCAGCTATTGTCTGCAATAGCATCTGTTAGAATAAATCTTAAATAAGCTTTATTGAAAAGCTGCTTAGTGTTGCACCTAGGGTTAGTGCCTAACTAGGAACTAGATATGTCTTGTCTTATTCCCTTCTTTTTCATTTATTGTATCTGAACTACCTTTTCTTATTATAAATATGAGAACCTAAGAGAGGGAAATCAAGCCTCTCAATTATATTTATTTTTCTATTTTATTTATCTCAAGTGCATCCATGACTCACCATGACACATAACATTCTGCTGCCTCTCCTCTGTCACTTTTTGAGGCATTGTTGGGATAAATTTCTGATTGACAACTATGACAACAATTTATTGAAATTTCAGTAAGAAAATCTCAATCACGAAATTTTGACCAAATCTAGCCCCGTAGATTTCTACATCTAAACATTAAAATTTTATAGTCAAACATCAAATTATAGGGAAATTCAAAATTATTGCTAATTCAATTTAGAATACTTTAAATTTTATCATAGAATGTACCACACGCCATACATACACAACACACAGCAGCACTCATGCAAAACACAGCAGCAGGGGGCAGGGGCAGCGCAGAGTAAAGCTGGGCAAGGCAGGGCAGGGAGATCAAAAGGCTGGACCAATTATCTTCATCTTCACATAAAATTTCAGAAAAGCAAAACATAGTTTTGCCATTATAAAATTTGGTTGCTAAGGACACAACCTGGATAAAAGATGCACCCTGGTGGTGCAAGATTTATGCCCATTGCAGACAATACAAATCTGGTAAAATTTTGTCATGACTCTTCTAAATCATGTGTGTGATCCAAAACGTGATTATAGAATTAAATTCATGCAGATGTGGTCAACATGGATGTATTCACAATCTACAAGTCGAGGCATTCTAACAACCATTTCTATATTCCATTGCAGCTTCCAAATACAACCAGAAAACAAGGGAGCCATTTAACCAATTTGATATTGTACAAAGCAAATACAATACAAAACATACCTTAGCAGCAACTTCCAATGATTTAAGGTAAAGTTCATTCAAAGGATCCTACACAAAACAAAAGTACTCCATTACACATTATTTCAACTATAAAACACGTAAAATACTTCCCACGACACCATGCTTAGACTGACACTGAACCAAAATATGGTTACCTCATTAGCAGCTTGTTTAAAGTACTGAGTTGCCTTATCAAAATAAATTTTTGCCTCCTCCTGGTCTGGAGTTAAAAATGCTTGCGAGGTGTGAGCATTTCCAAGGCACCAAAGGGCGTCATGCTGCTTGGGATTCACAGCAAGCGCCTCCTCTAGCTTCGAAATAGCCTCTGCTCGTCAACAGAATATAAACAAAAATTAAAAAACATAAGCAAACAAATACTCACCGTATCATTATATGCTTTAAAATCTTCAAAATGGAAAAGAAAAGAGTCCCTGATTGGATAATTTCATGTTCAAACAAATGGCCCGACGCACTTGTTATGTTTATATATATATATATATATATATTATATATATATATATATATATATATATATATATATATATATATATATATATATATATATATATATATATATAACATAACATAAGTATTAGCAGAATATATGCTTCTTGAGAATTATTGAAAACAAAACTGATTTCTTGAGAAAATATTTAAAACCGCTTTTGATTTTAATTAGAATTTTTTTATACCAGTTTCTGATTATTTGAAAAGCTGAACCGCATGAAAATCTTTCAGAAGAATTTTGTTTTTAATAAGTGATTCTTTATGGGAAAAAAAAAACAGTGATAATATCAAGCACAAGAGATTTCAGTGAAAAAAAAATACCTAGGTCATAGAGAATTAGCAGTACCTTGGGTCATTTTCTTCGACTCAGGAAAGTTCTGAAACTGAGACAACTCTAACAAAGCTCCACCCCATCTCGTTAGGTTCTGTGGAGATAAGAAAAAAAAAAAACGAATATTGTTTCCAAAAATTGCAGAACATTTTCACATCCCAATCTAATAAGCAACGGCCAATTCATATGAAAATAAACCAAGAGAATTATAAAAACGAAAATAATAGATTAATTGCGATGATAATCTAAATAGAGTATCCATGGACCGATCCTTCGAGAGAAACTTTTTGGAGCTCGAAGGAAACGACGAATCTAAAAAAACAAAAACATAAAAAGGAAGAAAATATACGAACGTCGGCATCGATAGGGTTCTTGATGTATTCGGCTTCTGCATTCTTACGAGCGTGCTCGAAGAACAAGAGGCGATCGAACTCGCCCTGTTGCAAATCCATGGCAGGTTCAGAAGAGATACTTGGGGCTTTCTTTTCGCTTTTAGGGTTTTGGGTTTTTGAATGTAAAATCTGCACTATAATGACAGACAGACCTGAAATTGTCCACTCTTTTCTCACGTTACATTCCAATTACTTATCATTTTTAAATAAATATAATATAGTATTTTTTTTATTAAATAACTTGTTTTTTAAGATAAATTTAAATGAGTTAAAATTATTTCTACCATTAATTTGACGATCAAGTTATATTTTTTTAGACAATTTAACCTAAGCGAAACACAACATTAATAAAAATAATAATGAATAAAATTAAAAATAAAATTGTTACATAAAATAATTAATGTAAAAGAAAATTGAAGTTAAAATGTTATTTTAAATTTTCATTATTTTATAATTGTTTACAACATGAAACTAAAAGAATAATAAAATTTATGAAGATCTTTCCAGTGTTATTTTTAAGATAAAATTAAAACTTATTTTTAGATTATGAGATATAGAGTTAGACATATAGAAAAAAGAGTAATAAATATGATGAATAATGGAGACGTAAACGTTGAAATTATGATGAAATATTAACTTATACATAAATATGTTTTTGGTATAAGAGGGATTTCTAACATTTTATGTAAGAGAGTGAAAATCAACACTATAACGATATTTAAGGGTGACTAAATTTTAGTTTAATTTTCATTAAATGAATAAAGATGAGATTATTTGGGATGTTGCACTAATGTGTGTTAGAGATAAAATTTTTGGATGTATTTGATAATATAATAGAAAAGTTACACATTGATAGGTAAAAAATAACATAATCTTTCTATGAATAACTACATCATTGATAAGTGGTCTATAAGTTGTAACAAATTAAAGGAGGACTTTATCTATCTATTTTCAAATGAACTAAACTTCTTAAACCCTAAACATTCCTAACTTCTTAAACCCTAAACATTCTCAACAGGCATGAGAATGAAATGTTTAAGGTTTTATCTAAATTTGAAAAAAGAAAACAAAGACATAACCTTGTTGTTAAAGTTTTTAGAAATTATAACAAAATAAAATTGTTAAAGTTGGTCAACCAACATATATGATCAATGGTCTACATCATCAATTTCTAGACTAGTGAAAACTAACAAGGACTCAAGTTTATCTAGGTATTAAAGAATAAAATTATTAAGTTAAGGATTTGGGATAAAAAAGGAAACAAGTTATTTAGTACATGGATAATGATTATTTGCAAAAGAAAGAGAAAAATATCTATGTTCCAAGACCTAATGAGTAAGAAGTGAGGAACAATAATTGTACTATAAGCATATAGTAGGTGTGCAGTTATACACCTACTATAGACATACGACTCTGATCGTATCAGTGTAGGTACAACCTACAACAAAGACATTGTGCAGAGGCGGACGAAGCACAAATATGTACCTTGCAGAGGTAGAGCACACAACCACAACACGCACATACAATTAACGATCCAAAGGGCAAGACCATGAAAACAACCCATATGCAGTAGTATAAAGGTGAAAGTGATCCTAGCAAAGATCTCATTGATTTGATGAAGTCAAAGATAAAGTCAAGGGTCAACTCTGCAGCTGTCAAACAAGTCACTCAGAACAAAGGAGCTGAAGACTTAGTGTGTCTTAACAGAAAGCTTAGGTAAAACCACTTTACCTTTTCCACTGCATAAAGCTTCTTCACTCAATTTGCAAAATGCCTCAAAAATAGTTTTAAACAAATCAAACAAAAGCATTTTGACAAAGAACTTTCTTAACAATGTTTTTAACTGATATAGTTTTGAAAGAAACAATTAAAAACACTTAGAATGTTTTAAAAAGTGTTTTTACAGTATTTTAATTGATACAAAAACCTTTTAATCGATTAAAACTCTTTATGACCGATTAGAATTCGAATGTAATAGGTCAGAATGCAATATAATCGATCAGATCTTAAATATGAGCGATTAGAATTATTTTAATCGATTAAAACACGTTTCAATCGATTAAAATCACTTTGGATGTCAGTATGATCGATCAGAATGAGATTATGACCGATCAGAGTTGGTTATGATCGATCGAATTGAATTATGACCGATCAGACTTATTTCAATCGATTAAAACGCATTTCAATCGATTATAATAACTTAGAAAATCTTTTCAATCGATTAAAACGAACTTTCAATCGATTAAAATGACTTGAAAATATATGTGCAGATTTTCAATCGATTGAAACGACTTTATATCGCTTAAAATAACTTGGAAAGTTTTATAAGAAGGTTTTTAAACAAATCAATCGATTAATACGTGATTCAATCGATTGTTTTATACTTAGAAAATGTTTGTAAAACGTTTTAACTGATAAAAACGTAGGCGTATCAACTAAAACATTTTCTCGTTAAAGATCAAGAACGCATTAATGGGTTGAAAGGACTTTTAACAGATTATAACGGCTATTTCAACTGATTAAAACAAACTTTCAACAGATTAATTAATGCAAGCAGATTTGAAAATTCTCTTTAAAAACAGTTTTGCTTGAAACTTTGAAACAAGAGATTGAACATATCAGCTTTTACACAATTCAAGCAATCAATACAAGCAACTCGTTAGCATCCTTTTTCCAAGAAAGAATTACAACTCGTTTTGTGAAGTTCTTTTTGAAATCTTTCTTGAGGCATATTGCATTCCGTGAAGAAGAAACTTACCGTGGATTAGAGTAATCCGGTTTGAGCTTTCTAAGTCTCTTCTTTTCAATTGCTTTTCATTACTTTGTATTGTGTTGTACCTGGAATTTGGGTACAAGTTTTTTCTGCAATTGGTAGGTGGTTGTAGAAGTTTCCAAGAACTGGAATTTGGTTCTTGGTGGAGAGGTTAAGTGCGAGGAACTGGAATTTGGTTCTTGTACTTGTTTGGTGCCTGGAATTTGGGCACTTGGTTTCTCTCGCAACTGGAATTTGGTTGTAGAGGTTTCCAAGAACTGGAATTTGGTTCTTGGTGGAAAGGTTAAAGTCAGGAACTGGAAATTGGTTCCGGTGTTAGAGTAGGTGTAAGATTGTTGAGTCTCGTAAAACATCTATTCTAGTGGAACCCAGCTGGAATTTGGTCGGAGTCCGGACGTAGCCCTGGTATTGGGTGAACCAAGTATAAAATTACCGGTGAAATCTTTCCTAACCTTTCTCTCTTTAATTTCTGTCGCTGCACTTAAACCGTTTGATTGCTTTGTGATTTGTGAATTGATAAGTAATCTTAATTTTCGGATTAGATAATCTGTGTATTGCGAAAAACTTTCAAAAATCAATTCACCCCCCTCTTGATTTAAAACTACTTTTCTAACAATTGGCATCGAGCAAGGTGCTTGAAAGTTATTCAAGTCTCTTGATCCATGGTCGAGAACAGATCATCGTTTTCCGAGGGGGCATCTATTAACAGACCTCCACTATTCCGTGGAACAGATTATCCTTTCCGGAAAATTAGGATGAAAATCTTCATTGAATCCATTGACGTAAATGCTTGGGATGTTATTACTAATGGTCCTTTAATTACGGATAAAGGATGGTCAAGCTTGAATGAAGAAGAAAAGAAGAAAGTTCAAAGTGATCGTAATGCAAAAAATATAATTACTTCGCTCTTAACATGGATGAATTTTTCAGGGTGTCCCAAGTGCAATTCCGCCAAGGAGATGTGGGATGTTCTTGAGGTCACTCATGAAGGGACTGCAGATGTTAAAAGAGCCGAAAAACACACTTTGATAAGAGAGTATGAGTCGTTTAAAATGCAGAATGGTGAAAGCATCGCAGATGTGCGTAAACGCTTCACGCACATCATCAACCATTTAATGGGCCTAGGTAAGACCTTTGATAAGGAAGAATTAAATATTAAAGTGTTGAAATGTCTTGACAGGTCCTGGCAGCCAAAAGTCACTCGCAATATCGAATCAAAAGATCTGTCCACCATGACAACAACTCTCACTCGTTTGGAAAACTCGGAGAACATGAAATGGAAATCACAAGATTCAATGAGCAAGAAGTCTCGAGAAGAAGAACAGAAGCATTGCACTTAAAGTTGAAGAAAATCAAGAATCGAAGAAGATAATGAGAACCTTGGACTGCTTGTTAGGAAATTCAACAAATTCCTCAAGAAAAAGATCCAAGACAAGGAAAGACACAAAAGGTATGAGAAAAGAACTGATTCTTCTAACTTTAAATGTTATGGTTGTGGCAAACAGGGCCATGTTAAAATGGAATGTCCAGAGAGAAATAAACAAAGTGAAAAGAAAGAGAAAAAATCAAAAAGAAGAGCCTACATTGCCTGGGATGATAATGATACGTCATCAACAGATAACTCTGAAAATGAAGAAGCCAATCTTTGTTTAATGGCGAGTCAAAATCCACAAACCAGCCAGGTAAGTTCTAGTTCCTCTTCAAATATAGTTAACTATGATGCATTACAAGAAGCATTTAATGAAATGCATGAAGAGGCTAAGAAACTTCAAAAAGAAAATGATAGGCTAAAAGGATTAAATAACTGGCTAGTTAACAAGGTTGATTCTCTGGAAAAACAGATTAGTGAAAATGAAACTGATAATGAATTCTTGAAACTGATTCATGCTAACTCCGATTGTGAATGCAATAAACCATGCAATAACCGTCCCGAATTGCAAAAGAAAATTGAATTCTTATCTCAAACCTGTTTCAAAGTTCACTCGGGGGCAAGCTAATCTTGATATATTACTTGGATCTCAAAAATTAATGTTTGACAAAACTGGAATAGGCTTTAAATCTAGATCCAGATAAAACAAAAACAAATAGGAATTCATACTCTACAATCAAATGTTTCTACCTGCATGAAGAAAGGGCATTCAAGTAAAATACTGCGAGAATTAAAAAGTATGCTATTCCTAAAGGGAGAATGAAATGGGTTCCAAAGATTAATTCTTTTCAAATAACATGATCAGGACCCAATAATTATAAAGGGTACCAGAAAAATACTTAATTGTTTTGCAGGAAC